AAAAAAAAAAAGAATAAAGTAATTCAAACAATAAGTAGAAAATAGGATTGTCAAAAGTACGAGAAAGTCGTGAAAGTGAAAAGTAAAGAGTGCTTTGTCAAAATACTAGTAATCAAAAACCATCATAAGCGACAAAACGAACACGAAATGTGTATCCCATCTTTATGATTTTTTCGTGTTGATCTATACATATATAGTTTACTACTTGTTATGCCCTGTGTTAGATCAACACGAAAAAATCATAAAATTCAGTCAACCGACCACAGGTAGCCCAAGCTCGACATTAACATAAAAGAATTTATTGGAATTTAACCATGATTGTACGTAAACTTCAGTTGTAACTTACTGCGCGTCTTTTCAACGATTTTCAAGAATTTTTAAAAAATTTTTTCCTCTCGCGGTACGGAAAATGGAACTCCGTTTTTGTGTCGGCTGCAAATGACGCGAGACTAGAAAAAAAAAGGAATATTGTTGTATATTACGTAGATTGATTTCTATATAACTTGAAATTTATTATGCAATTTTTACAATTATAAATCTGGCATAACATAATTAATCTGCAATAAAACTACATCATGCCTGTCCTGATTCGGAAAGAACTTTATTTTTAATTTTTTATATGGTAGTCCTCTGAATTTATATTTTTTAGTTCTTTAGATTGATTTTTTAAGAAACAAGAAAATTTTTGAATTTAAAAACTCGTAACGTCAAAACGTCTTTCAGTTCAAAATATTTACCTTCAGCTCAGCCCAACTGTAACCAACGTTCCTTTTAAAAAATGCATTTTAAAAATCATGCAAAAATTTAACGCTTTATTTTTGCCTCCTGAATTTATTTAAACTTTTGAGAATAGATTCATATATATTTTTTCATTTTTCACATTGTTCAAAACAAGCAAATAAAATAGAAAATAAAAGAATACATCGGAAAGATATATGTACAGCCAACGCTCTGGGATCCCTTTGTGCTTGTCAGCAGTATTTCCCATTAGCCTCACATGGCGCGAACAACATTGCATGCTGTTTATCTCTGTTGCTCTATAAACATTTAGCGAACACTGTGCATTTGAGATCATGGTTAGAAAGCGTATTACTAGAAGCATAGATGACCTACCAGAGGTTCGCTTGGCCAAGAGAAAGAAGGTTGAAGATCCATGCGATACAACTGCCTTAATAGCTCCGTCCAAGTCGAAACGTAAGACGTGTCAAAACAAAATGGGAAGAATCCTTGGAATTTATCATAATATAGTTTCACTTGTCTCTCTTTTCGTCAAATAGTTAAATATTTTTAGATCTCAGAACAATTTTATGTCTTATTTGGGATAGTAATAACTTCTGATTTGAGATCCGTAGGACGTACGTACAGGGTTACGGTGTCTGATCACAACACATGGTCTTAATTGGCTGACCTCTTACATAACATGGAAATACCTTAGATGACTACAGTCACATTTCACACCCAGTAAATGAATTAACTAAATTGCTTGCAATTATTTTGCATATTTTGGCTCATTTGCAATGCATTTTATACTATGCTACAGTATGCTAAACAATTTTGAAAAAAGGGGTGATATGCGATTTTCAGTCATTCTATATTTGTTTGTTTATTTGTTCTTTTTTTCTCAATCATAATAAATATATCATTTCTTAAAGAAATTATGCAACATTATTAATAGTAATTGATTTTCTATTAATGCATCTTACCTTTGAAGAGTTTTTTTCTCCAGCCAACCGAAATCATCTTCTCCAGACATTTTATGATAATATGATACTATTACTTTATCTTTACATGTAATATAGGTACTTCAAGTTCAAAAGGTATAACACCTGCAAGAAAAAGAAAACCAAAGTCAGAAGAAAATGCTCAACAAAATGGATTTGCATCTGAATCTGAAGACAGTGAGGTTGAAGTTGCTGTTAAAAAGAAGCAAAGAGTATCCAGAAGGTCTAACTTAAAGAATACAAGGCAAAATAATGAAGAAAAACCTGATGAAGTAGAAAAAACAAAAGAGAGAAAAACTTCTAAAAAACGTGGAAAGAAAAAAATTCAAAAAGGAAATGAGAAGTTGTGTTTGCAGAAGACTGATGACACTTGTATTGTCAACACAGATGCTATTGAAACCCATTGCAATGAAACACCTCTACAGGACATCAAAATGGAAAATCTGGGGGGAAATGCCAAAAGTGGTACAAATAAACATGCTAGAGGAAAAAAGGGGAATAATCCCAAAATAAATAAAAAATCATTAAAAGAATCAGCAAAGGACATAAAATCAAAATTGGATGATCAGTATGATGCTACTAGTAGGGTCAATGATTGGGTTAAGACAGAAAAGGCCAAGGATGCTGATTCTAGTGGTGGTGAAAGTGAAGAGGACATTGACTGGGAAGATGTGCAAGGTATAGTATATAAAGGGTCCAAGATGCCATGCATAGTTATTGCATTACAGGATCAAGGGGGAAGTAGTGGAAGTGCACCTTAAATTCCGGTTCAATCTATGAGTTAAAGCCATTCATATGCAAGGTTCAAGTTTTTCGCACTTTGTTCTGAGCTTGTTCTTGACTCCTATATGCATAAGGCATTATATCATCATCATCATCATCATCATGACAGGCTTGATCATGATCATCATCGTCATCATTATCATCATCATCATCATCATCAAGTAGTTGTCAAACATTTATCATTTCAATTTGTTAAGTCTCCCTTGATTTGAGTTTTTTTTCTTTGGGTCTATCTGCAAAAAGCTAACATGCTAATTTTTCATTTGAACTTTGAGTCAGCAGTGTCCTGAGTTTGATCATCCCTGAGTCTGTTTCAGGGCATCAATAAAATATGAATGTTTGAAGGGTTTTATATTAAAAAATACAGTGCTTATGTTTATATCAATTTACCTTCTTTAATTTGCATTTTGCCATGTTTTCTTTCAGAGGCTGAAGGCCACCATAGTGTAGACTTGTGTGATAACAGTAGTATAAGTTCAAGTACAGCTTGCAGTTCAGCTGTCACTAAAACAGAAGTGGAGATTAGTATACAGATTCCTGGAATGAAAGGAAAAAGGAAAAAGAAGTAAATATTAGGGGAATAGTATAATGTTGATGTCAATGAATAAGATATGAGAAAATGGAAGCAACTGAAAAAAATTATAGATGAAAGGTTTTATGAATCAGTGGGTGGGTGGGTGAATGCATGGATGCATAAATGGATGGATGGGTGGATAGACAGATGGATGGATGGATAGAAGGATTGGTGGGTGGATGAATGGATGGATGGATATGAATGGATGGATGGATATGAACGGATGGATCGGTGGATGGATGGATGGGTGGGTAGATGGATGGATGGATGGATGAATAGTGAATGGATAAGTGAGTGTTAGGATAAGCAATTCAGTACATAAACAGATAGATGGGCTTTCTATTTAAGTACGCATTGTTTGCATTCCATTTTTGCTAGGACTGAAGATGATTTATTAACAAAGATTAAAAAAGCTATGACAAGATTCAAGAAACAAATTCAATTGGACATGCACAAGGTAATCATTTGTTCATTCATTAATCCATCCATCCATTCTTTCTTTCTTTCTTTTGGTTTAATTCATCCATTTGTTGATTTTTCTTGTCCACTGTACTGTACTTTACTGTCTTCATTTCTATTCTCATTTATATGTACAGGCACACCTTGTAACGTTGATAGCGTGGGGGTTTAACAGAAATGCAGTATGCAATCAACCTGTACTCCAGGTATTTATAGACACATTAAAGTAAAGGAAGGATACAGTACTAGTGATGAAATGTTCCCTACCTGGCTAAAACTAAGAATTGTCTAATGCAAAATGCAAAACAATGAATCCTGAAGTGAATATGTTATTAAATAAAAGTATACGTAACATAAATTAATTTTGAAAGTATATTTTAAACAAATTATTAATTTATTGCATGCAAATGTCTCTTTTCGGTTATTCAGGCCTACTCTCTGTCATTTGTTCCGTCACACCTTATAACCAAATCAGTCAAGAAATGGCAATCTGAAGAACTCACAAACCTTATAACATGGTTAGTTATAAAACTCAATAATGGGTTATTAACTGTCTTTGTGATTTTAATTTTTGTATCTCCTTAAGAAAGAGAGAGAGAGAATATAAGCAATGAATACAACTACTGTAATTCTGTAATTCTTTTTTAATGTTTTCTGTTTTAATTCTGTTTTAATAGGTTCAAGGAAGACTTCCCACCTTTTCAGCAGTTTAGAGATGACTTGTCAAAGGTATTGAATATATATGCATATTTGTTGGTATTTATTCATCAACTTAATATTATTTTTAAGATATAAATCCTGTTGTTTCAAGGATTTTCTCACTTGATGAAATTGTTGATAGTTTTTTTCTCCGACTTTTTCAGAATGACATGATTCCTGTATCACGTTACCCACAGAATATGGCAGAGGTACAAGTTCACCATGCAATCATTCAACAAATCCATCCTGTTTATCCTTTCTTCCCTCCATTCATCCAGTGTTTAGTCCATCCAAGCTAATGAAAGCAATCACTCACCACTAGACATCAGCCTATCCATCTGCTCATTCACTCATTCTTTTCGTGGCCTTCAATTTATTTCCTTATATTATCCTGTGTATTATTTCATAGGTTCTCGTTATCCTCTTGAGGTCACTGGGTATCTTAACAAGATTGGTAGCATCTCTTCAGGTGAAAACTGCCTTCATTTTTCCATTCTTGACTTATTTGTTGCAGTTATTGATACTAGTTTCATGTCCTAATATTAGTCACAGTGTTAAATCCATATTTCATTGATTTCTTCCTAGCCTGTCTCAATGAAGATTGCGAAAGATGGCAAAGCAGCAACCAAGGTATTAATAAACTAGATATCTGACTTTCATGCATAGATTTTATCAATGTAATGTGGTAAAAAAAAAAAAAAATCTAAATTTGAAAAAAAGAAAAATTTAAATTTGAAAAAATAAAATAAAATTAAGCACGAAAATGGGAGTCTGAATGCATGTCAGGAACAAAATCATTTTAATCATGCACACTTTTATGGTTAAACCAAAATTTGTTGTAATTAGTTTATTGACTGGGAATTATTGTTTTTAAAAAGTTAATTTAATTACTGTGTGTTACTGTGTTATGGATTTGATTGCAGAAAGCCAACGCTTCCAAGATAATGGAAAGCCCATCAAACAGCAGCATTCAAGCAACTCCTACTAGAGCAGGAAAACCAAGTGTTGTATTAAAGTCTGAAAATACTTTGGATGACAGTGAAATTATGGAGACCAAACAGGCAAACACTCTAGAAAACAATGCAGATTCACCTGCATCAAGTACAAGTACCTCAGTACAATCTTCATCACCATCATCTTCAGGTCAGGCAAAGGTCAAAACTAGTCCGTCTTCATCACAATCATCTTCAAGCCTGCAATCAAAGGTCGAATCTAGTGTTAAGACGAGATCAAATCAAAATGAGACACCTAGGAAAACAAAATCATCCACACCTAAAGTGGGAAATAAAAAAGAAAAAGATGAAAATAAAGTAAAAGATGCTGCAAGCGGCCCAAAAAGAAAGAGGCTTCGGAAACAAAAAAAGGTGAATTATGCAGACAATGCAGACTCTGGAAGCAACAGTGAAGATCAACTGAGCAGTTATTCTGAAGAAAAAAGCAACAGTGAATCAGATGAAGAATTCGAGAAAGAAATAAGCTACAAAGCACCAGTCAAGAAGCCTGCACCTTCAAAAGGAAAAACAAACAAGACCTCCCTCACATCCAAGGTCAAGAAAAGTCCATCAGTCGTAGAAATGATTGATGATGATGATGAGTTTGAGATAAGTAGTAAGCCTCGTATTTTTAGGAGACAATCATCACAAAGCTCTAAGGAAGGAAAAAGCCCAGTCCAGATAATATCTGACGATTCAGATGAAGGGGCTACTGTAAGAAAGAACAAAGCAGGTAATTTATTTTCTAGTACACTACTGCATGAAAAACTGGCTACTGTAAGTCAGATCTCCCAATTAATACTACAGGCTTATTGATACCTATTTCCTATTGCCCTGATAAAAGAAATAATTGCTTAATGCACACAGCTAGGCTGGTGTGTTACTGTAGCTACTGAATGATCCTTGGAAGCCAAGAAATCARTCATTCGTCAATGACATCATCAACATTGTCCTAAACATGAAATTTCATGAAATTTAAACATGTACTTTAACAACTGCATTCTCAATTACGTTACTATCAGGGATTCAGGGGGTTGCAGGGGGTGCCTTTTTGGCCTGCACCCTTCCCTCAACAAAATCCAGTATCCTTCACTGACTGCCAATCTGTTATCAGTTGATAGCCAATGGATGGCAGATAATTACTGATGACATTGATTTCAACTTTGTTTTCAGGAACAGATATGTGGGTTGAAGTCTACTTGCCAACCAGCAAATCTTGGATGTGTAAGTACAGCATACAGTGTATTACCAGATCACATAATAATAAATACTGCTAAGAGCATAAATTAAGTTATACAAGTGGGACTCTCCGAGTGGGACCCGTATTCCATGGTGTGTCACTATTTTATAACCCATATTAAATATTTAGTACATGATGGAAAGAGTAAAATAACAGTAGAATTATGAATTCTACTGTCAGCAACTTTCCTGCATTTTGATTGGCTGCATGGAATAAAACAGCTGTACTATATGCTCTGGCAATGGACTTCACTGTATAAAATCACAAATGTTTTAATTTGTTTCCCCAAGGTGTGGACTTAGTTTCCTACAGTGTTAATCAACCTGAACTGTGTGAAAAGTATGCCAGTAATCCACTCTCTTATGTCCTTTCTTTTGATAATGGTAAGTGATATTAACCACTGACATGTCCTGGAGAGTATTTCCCCAGGGCTAACAATAAAAGCTGCTTGGACATAATGACTGGTCATATGGATCTTAGATTGCAGTCTCACTTCTAACATGTCAGTCAATGTGACCAGTCAAGAAGACCTGCCTTGGAAGTGTTGGGCTGCTTTCAGCCAGTATAACTTCAGAATTTGATCTTATTATTTTTGATTAACAGAAAATAGTGTTAAAGATGTTACTGAGAGGTATGCTTCCGAATGGTTGTCCAAAACTAAGAAGTTCCGTATTGATGCAGAATGGTGGGAAGAAACTCTACTGCCATATAAAACCAAGAAAAAGGTATCATACTAACTGATTGAATGTATACTACATTATAAAATAACTGTCATAAATGTCATGCACACGCTTTCAATTGCGCCACTCATATTCTGCTACACATCATGCTTCACCTAACACTTCTCTCCTGTTCTGCCAACCCCCGCATGCTTTATAACTGCGCACAGTATGCATGCACATTTAAATTCTATTTCTTGATTATCCCCTTGTCCATCCCCTTTCCTAAGGAACTCAAGCTGGGATTATTGTTAGAACCAGATAAACCAATGAATGTTATCAAAAACTGAAACAGCCTTAACTCACAGATCAAATTGGAATTAAAGCATTGGTGCTGCATTGTGTATTCAGTTGCAATTATTCTGGTATTTAAGGATATGGACTTCTGCGTAATTTTAATTATTTAATTTATGATTTCAGAAAATGGATGAAATGGAGAATTCCCAGTTGTTAGGTAACTATAATGTTGTATTTGAGATCATTTTTGGATATGAGAGAAAAATAGAAAAAGTAAATCAGGTGCGGATCCAGGATTTTGAAAAGGGTTTGACTGTTACAGGGAACCTCACACCAATACCAATGGAAACCCATAAAATGCAAGAAAATGGGGGGGGGGGGGGG